TAGTTCACATAAATGATGAAGCGTTTCTAATTCAGAGAGTGACATTTCCTAAAAAATTTTAGTTTTTTTGTCTAGTTCAATTTCATATCAAGATATATATCAAAAAAGATTGCACCAAAATAGGCGCTACTCATTAGTGAAAGTTCCTGTAGTCGTGTATTATTTTTATCTTCTGGGTGAAGATTTCCGCCAGTCTTTCCAGCATTTTTATAAAATGTTACTGGGTTGTAGAAATTTCCCTTGTCTCGATTTTGATACGGGTGTGCTGGGTCAGTAATTAATTTACCTGTTTTCATATCAAAACGTTTGTCATGATTCTGAATATTTTGTTATGAAAAGTGGATTGGGATTCTTACATACTTCTATTTCATGGTAAATATGTAGGCGTGTTAATTTGTTTTGTTTTTCATCTATGTTTTTTGTGGGTTTGATCTAATGCGCATAGAATTGATTTTTGTTGAAAGGTACAGATTCTATAAAGTATTTTTGGTGAAACTTTATCAATCTTGCGTGAAACTTAGTTACTTGAAACGTGGTACATGTGTCTTCAGGGAACCAAACTATAGTTACCTGTGTTCGTGTAGTCAGGTCGCATTATTCTTGATTATTTTTTAAGATAAGCGTAAACCTTGATACAATATGGTATCGTCTTCTAAATCTCGTGTTAGTGGTAGTTTTTCTAATTGAAAAATCCAACCAAAAAACATTATTTCTTGGTAGCCTTTGTTTTTACTGTCTGCTTTTCAGCTTGATGGATTATTGATTCCGGTATGTGGTATCAAGTTTTTATCATGTAAGACATTTGTTGAACGTCAGTGTGCGCTATGATAGGGATTTATCATCTAATTTAATATGACCTTGATATCGTTTGTGCTTGGTGTGCAGAGTCTGGAAAAAACTATAAATTAACTAAGTTACGATTTGTGACTTTTTTGTGACGAGTTTTAAACGTTGTAATTCGTTTTTGCAATCCTGATGAATGAGATTTAAAAGTTTTTTGATTTTTTTTTGATAATGGGATTCATGGTCGAGTCTATTTTTATTGCTGTTTAAAGTTTGTGAACAATGTATTTTTTTCTAAAAAATTTGCTGTAAATTCAGCTTCTGTTACAATTGTAGCTCGTGCTTTTGAGTAAACTGTAGCTACTATAGTTGTTGATTCGATGACTTGTGGTTCCGATTCGCAATGTGTTACTTGAATATTTTTCTTCACAGTCATAATGTGTAACAAGGAGGTCTTGTGGTCCTGTTCTGGGGTAGATTTTGATAAGGTGTGGCTTATATAGCAGAGGGGAAAGGGTTTCTATTAGAAATGCTATTAAAAGATACATGTGTATGATAATCCTGAAAAGGGATTTAAAAATATTATAAAGTCTATTGTTTTTTTTTGTGTATCGATCGTACTCGTAGATGAGTTATGTTGTGAAAAATTGAGGGGTTAAAGATTGAGCCGTTATGTTTGGTGGAGGAAATGGTAATATATGAAGTACTAAACTATTTAATTTTACAGTGATTTCAAGATTAAGAGTTAAATTATGTTGGGTAAGGACTTGCATATTATGTTCTTGTATGTCTTTATGATAATTGCATCTGTATTGTAGTCCATTAAGTGCCCAATTATGTATTTGATTACTATCGAGGTGTCCGCCAAAAAGTGGAGGGGATGCTACACAGTGTTCCAATCTAATCGTACAGGTATACTTGTACCTTGAAGTTCACGATATCTGTCGTCTAGGTGATTTGGGAGGGTTGTGGGAAATGTAGTTGTTAGTGTTTGACCTGTTGCTGAGTGTGTTGATGGAAGTGAAAGAGTTTCGGGCAATGATAAAAAGATGTCTGATGAAATGACTATGGGTTCAATTACCAAGTTTGGTTCGCCTTGAAAAAAAAACAAAAAGTTTTTTTCCTTGAATTTAGTTCGTAGTGGTTTTTTTGACATTAAAGATATAAGAGAAAGTGCTCTAAAATATTGTTTTTTGTGTAGAATCAGAGTAAATTTTTTACTGCGTATATACATTGAAATCGTGCTGATGTTTTGTCTTTTGCGTTACTAGTTCAGGTGGTGTGTTTCGACTAAGGGTATCTGGTGAAGCAAGGTTTTTGCCCGCTGTCCAAACTATATATAAGTTTAGAAATTTTACTAAGATAAGTTGACTAATCTATAAACTCTGTGGTTGGCATTTAATTTTTGTGTAAAAAGGAAAATTATTGGCTGATGGTTTGTGAAAATAGCTGTTGGATGTTTTGATCCAAAGATTGAGAATTCATATTCTGTTAATGTAAATTTTATAACTGTTCAATCTCTGATAAGGGTAGAGAGTCTAAGATCTGCTTGTGTACAAAATCATGACTTTGCTGATGTAAGGTCATTTTATTTGTATCTTTATGTGCTTGTAAAATTGCTGCTCCGACTCCAAAGTTGGATGCATCGCACATAGCGTAGAATGGTTGATCTGGGTCTGGAATTGTGTTTGAGATTTGTTCTGTGAGGAGAGTTTTTTATTTCGTCAAAGCTTTTTTGATGTTCTAATTTCCATTCAAAATTCTTTTGTAGTCGGAGAAAATTACAAAATGATTTTAGATGTAATTTCATTTTATAAACGTATTTAATCAAGAAGTTTAAAATTCCAAGAAATTCTTCATTTTTATTTTTATTAGATGTTAGTTGGAGTTTTAATATAGCATCTATTTGTGATTTTTAAGGTGCAATTGTGGTGCCTTCAATAATGTGTCCAAGGAATTTTACACGAGTAAGCAAAGAATGTGATTTATCTGGGGCTGCTTTCATGTTTTCTTTAAATAAGATTTGGTGATATTTCATTAATACTTTAAGCATCTCTTGTTTTGTTTACGATTGTATGAAGACATCATCCAAGTATGTTTTTACTTTTTGCTATGAATGGGTGGCCTAAAATTTTTACTCATAAATTCTGAAAAAGCTGCTGGTCCTATGGATATACCATAGAACAGTCTATTAAATTCGTATCGTTGATATCAATAACGAATTGTGTTAGTCGATGGGAGTGTTCATCTAATAGCATTTGGTTGTATGAAGTGTTCATGTCAGCAGTGGTATAGTACTGTCGATATATCTTTTTGAGTATTACTTGTATTGTATCTATAGGCCAATTGCATTTTGATTCATCAATTAGGGCAATGAGGTATCTTGCATCTAGAACTTTTTTAATGATTCGTTTTTAGCAAGAATAATTACGGGGTTGATGAAGGTAATTGCTTTTGGTTGTTGTTCTTTGTTTACTGGTGAGATAGTTTCATATATGTTCAAGGATGTCTAGGAGTCCGTTTATTTTATCGTGTTAGTGAGTTGGTACTTTACTTGCTCATAATTTTTTGAAGACTGCGTCAGTTTAAAGCGGATAATGTAGTGGTGGATGTGTTTTTCCAACATAAATTTTAGATATGGGATAAGTGATGAGGTTTCTTCAAAATAATTCTGCTAAACGTTCAAGTCCTTGCTGATTGATTGGAGATTGTTGAAAGTTGAACATTGTTAAAAAATGTTTAGTTGCTCATTTGTATTTATTGAGATTTGAAATGTTGGCTTAAAATAGAGGGTTTTTGTGAAATAATCCATGTTTTTGAGTCATTGGTAATTTTATTAATAGATAGTTCTTCATTAAGAATTGTTGATTGACAAATAGTTAGTAATTTCAAAAAATTCTTAATTTTCAATGCTCTTTCTTGTGTAGGGTGAAATGTTGCATTTGTTTGGCAATATCCTTAAAGTCCTAAAAGCAGTGTAATTTTATATGGTGAATTGTTTTACACATGAAGGGATATCACATCTGTGTTTGTATCATTAGCGTAATTGATAGATGAAATCGTTACTCTAAGAATTAAATTTGATTTGGTTTGAATTCAAGATAAGACTAGTTTTTGTTTGTTTTGATCAGTATTATATTGTTGTACCTGACTAATAGAAAAATTATAGATATATCCTGATAGTGGTTTCAGTTTCTTTCGTTGTTTGTTATGTAAAAGATAAAAATTTGAGAAAAAGGGGATTGTTTATTCAATCTTTGGAAGAATGTTAGAGATGTTTTACTTAGTCTTGTATATTTGTCTTTGATGTGTAATTTGCTATTTAAGATTATTATGGTTGGGATATTGTAAGTAACAAATGGGGTTCCAATGATATTTATGTCTATTTTGTGAAATATTTGCTTGAAGCGTTCTGAATTTAAGTAAAAGTTTGCTTTGTTGCATTGTTCGAGTTGGAATGAGAAATAATTGAAATTTCCCATATTTTATTAGGGTTGTACCTTGTGCAGTGGCTAATTTACTTGAAGTTTTAGAAGGGGAAAATTTTGGATGTAGAGTTTGAATTTCATTCCATGTATAAATATTAATAATGTTTGATTCTGCGCCATAATCAAATAAAAGTCTTTTTCAAGATCTGGTCATTTGAGGCTTTTGCTTTTCGGGCTTTCTAAGAGAAGTGGATTTGTCCAATTTTTTTCTTCTTGGGGTGATTTTTTTACTTGTTGTTGTTCTACGTCATAGAGTTTGCAAGGGCAACCTGGGAAAGTTTCCGGTTTGCTTGGCCAAAATGGGAGTTGTAGAAAAAACTCCGAGAGACGCCCCAATGTCTGAAGGAGGGCACAAAACCCTGAATAAGTTAAAAATGATGGAAACAACAAAAGTCTATCATTTGTCGACAGGGGCTGATCGTGGATTTTCTCGAGGGGAGAGGGCGAATTTTCAAAAATATTCAAAATTTTGCAAACTTTCTTTTCAGTTCGATCAAATTGGTTTTCTAATTTTTCCCAGATCAATATAAAGACTTATTTCGACCAAACAGTCTGCAAATATTTGAAAAAAAGCAGGTAAAATTGCGTTTTTGGGCACGCTTTAGAAAGTTTTGAACAAAAAGTTGCCTTTTTAGGCACGCGCTTCCCTTCAAAATTAAATAAATAATTGTGGAATCCCTGAAAGGAAAGAAGCATCGGGCCATTGGTAAATAGACCCTCTGGTTGTAGATCCCTGTTCTGGCTGCTGGTGTTCATGGTGTGTGCGGCTCTGTTCTCGAAACAGTCGTTCACTCTGGTGGCCCAGTACCTCTCCTTCGGGAAGACAGTGAGTGTGTCGATGGTGCCCGACCCCTCCTACCAATTCCCCAAGGTCACCCTCTGCAGCCACAACATGGTCAACATGCCACACACAAACAACAACAATGCACACAACCACCACACACAAGGCAACCGCACAAATGATCCACTGTAAGTTACCAACAGTCTAAGGAACGATCAAGGGTAATTCAGGGGTGCAGGGGAGTTAACCCTTTTTGATCGTTTTTCTGACTTTTGACTACGTCAAATTGTGAGGGGGGGGCAACAATTTTTGGGATTTGTTGTGAACAAAGTTTCAAAAAAATGAAAAAAGTTTTCAAAATTTGGTTTCAAAAAAATTTGCCGTAAAAATGATCAAGAAGTAAAATTGCAATGGGTTAGCATCAGTTTAAGACATGACTCGTTTTAGGGATAACTCGTATACGAAGCTGGATTTTCTGACCAACATTGCCGCTTGGGACATCTACTTCCACTGTGAGTTCCACTCATTCATTTCATTACTCTGTGTAATACTTTGCCATTTTTACTTTACTTTACTTTTTACTTTACTTTACTCAAATCTCGCTGAGATGAAAAAAAACACATTGAGAATTGTAAAAACAAGTATAATGACTAAAATATAATGGTTTACTTAGCTTTCGAAAAAATTGAAAATCACATTTTAAGATAATGCGTAATGAGTGATTGTGTTTCAGATTGCAAACAACTTCTGGAAGAGAACGCACATTGTAAGAGTCATAAACTGTTGAATAATATGAAAGTAGCTGCAAGTTTCGCCTCATTCCCACAGGTTTTTCTACAGACAAATTAATTTTCTGAACTTCTTTTCCCTTTTAATCTTCCCTTCACTCCTAAACGAATAAAAAGGACAGTGCTTTTGATTTAAAATGATTGGCTAATAAGTGAAGATATAAGCGTGATCCAAAAAAACGAAAACATTATGAGTATTCCTATGAATGATGATCACGCAATCATGATTACTCCGCAAGGTAATAATTACAAAATCACCTCAATTATGTGAATTTGATTGAGAATTTTGTCTAAACTTGAAAACTTTCAAAATACGGTCTTCCTCATAGTTTTCAAACCTACGTCTTGTTTTTATCTAGTGACGTCTTTAAATTTGCATCAAGCTACTAGCACGACATCTATAAAAGATCGATTCTACAAATCTATCAAATTTGTTTTTTTTGCAAAAATTTTTAAGATTATACCCTGGCTTAACTTTGTTGGCTTAAATAAGAATTTTCTCTTGATATAATTGCTTAAAATTTGGTTGGGTTTCGGTAAACTTTTTGTTGAATAATGTTCATTATTGCTGATGTTCTAAGCAACTTTTGTTCACTATTTTCCATGACGGCAACCAGGGGAGGATCTAGAAATTTCTCGGCGACCTTTTGTTTTTTAGGTCGACCAAATTGTTTTTCTGAGCTCTCCTAAAGCACTAAAATTACGCCGTGTTTGGGCACTCTTTGTAAAATGTTGACAATAAAAATCGCGTTTTTTTGGCGCGCGCTCCGCCTCAGAGTTAGTATATACTTATTGGCGCCACAGACCCCTTCAAAAAGTTTTTAGGGTGAGTCAGCCAAAAATGTTTTTTTTCCAAAAAACTACCAACGGGGGAGCCTTTGGGTCGGCAGGAGGAAGAATCCCTAAGGAGAGGGGGGCGTCCGCCCCGCCCCCCCCCCCCTCCATAAATCCGCCCCTAACGGCGGCATTCCAATTTGAGAAAAGTGCGTTTAGATATGTATTAGTATCCATATGGTGTTACTAAAACTAATAAAACAAACTTGATAAAACAAACTAGAAAAAATTTCGAAATCATGGAGTTGAATTTTTCTTAAACATAGTCCCTGCAGAAGCATCTCTAGTTACTGAAGAAGTTTTGTTTTGAGTATTTAAGATTCTTTGTTCATATCTGTTTTAAATTATCTTCGTTAACTTGTAAGATGTCAATTGTTATATCATCAAAAAATTATGATTGCACTCCAAAAATTTATTAATTATGAATGAAATTTACCGCTTTCCCCAGTAATTAAAGTTATTAATTATTCACATCTTGAATATGCTCGGAGAGGGCATAAGTTACGGAGACCAGAGGGGTTAGGGCTTGGTATTAATTTTGCTAGTGACGTCTAAAAATCCGGTTTTGATTCTACTAATACTAGTTTCGCCGCAGGCCTAGTAAGTGTTCCTAGCGCTGTTTTGATTACGCATGTGCGCGCAATGCCATCAGTACCGGTAAAAATTTCAACAAACTTACCCAGTGGCCATATGCCTCGTGGAGTAAAGTCTTCGAGGATCCACACGAGGTGTTAACTTTCTCTGGTTTCCCTTTTTTGGTTCCGCTTGGTTCTTTCGATCAGTGTTGGAGCATATTTTTTCAGTAGTCGTTTCCAGAAGCTGTCTAGTCGGTCCTTAGTTAACTTTCAGGATTTTTTGCTTAATTTGTTGGTAGTTGTTTGGTCGTAGAATGAAATTGCGGGAGCGTAAACGATTGGCCTGCCAAGTAGAAAGTGGTTGGGTGTACGTTATAATGTGTCACTGATGTCGCAATTTACATGGGTCAGTAGTCATGAGTTGATGAGGCCTTCGCATTCTACTAAAATAGTTGGTAACAGATCCCTGGAGGGTCTGTCCGATCCTAGATTCAATAAAAAGACTCGTTTGATGATCAAAACGAGACGTTCTCACATAGCACTCTCACAAAATGAGGAGCAGATGGTGGGTTAAGACGCCAGTCGATTGACTTGAGGTGAAGTTTGGTTGCTATTTTGTCTTTGTTGATATTTAAGGGTTGTTTCATGATTTTTTTATGTGCGGCGACAAAAAATGCTGCGTTATCCAAAAGAGTCAGTTTAGGAGAAACCCGTTGTGCCATGAATATGCGAAATGCTGTGATAGTTTCCAGGTGGATTACAGGCGTTGCTGAACAAGTAAAGAGACAAATTTAGTTTTTTTTCGGTGATATGTTTTTTCAGCAACGAAGAATGAACCGATGTAGCCAAGCTCAACGTTCTTAAATGGATATGGATTAGTTTCCGGGTCATTCAAGCGCTGTGCAGTTAGATCAGCCATGAAAACGCTTAAACTTTTCTGTTGAAGGCGGCGGCACAAGAAACAGTGGGGGCGAAAGTGTCTCAAAGCTTTTCTGAGACCCAAAGTTATGAAACTTTGTTGCAAGTAATGTCGTAAAAATTCATTGCCAAGGTGCATGCATTCACAATGAGCATTTTTGATTATAAGTTGAATTGAAGGTTCCTTTGCATACAAAATAATAGGGTAATTAGTTGATTTTAGCTCCGAAGATTAGACGCGTATACTGATACTGCTTAACTCCTTGGTTAGTCGGCCACAAGAATCGTAGCTTATTTTGATTGTCTTCTTTTATGCCTATCTGCATATACATGCCTTCTATATCAGCAGAACTTTATTAGCAAACCGAACATGTTATTAAGTAGATCCGGTCCGGTCAAGAGGAATTGAGAGAAGTGCCCTTGAATTTCGATGCAGCATTTGTTATACGTCGAACTTTACCAGAATTCTGGGGATTTATAACCGGATGGTGCGGTAGGTACCATATTCGTAATGGTGGCAAATACAGGAAAGTTACTGGTATCACCTAACCTTTATCAATATCAGTTGATAAAGATTGTTCGTAGAGTTGCATTGACGGTTTGTACTTTTCTAGTCGTTGTTGTAGACATTCAAGCTGGGCTTTGGCAATAACGTAGTCGTTTGGCATCGTTTTGTTGTTCTTCCAAAACAAATTGATTCGGTAGCGGGTTCTGTCATGTTGAATGCTTTGTTTCATAAACTCTGATTGCTCAGTATGTTTGCTTGAAAAATGTTCCTTTTAGTTACAATAGAAGTTGTTTCTGGTTCTTCGATTTTTCAAAATTTTTCAACAATTTCTTTTAAGGAAGCATCCTCGTGTTGCTTTTTGTCAATGAAATTGGTTAGAAGTTAGTTGCACTGCTCATCTACAGACTTTTGATGGAACGGGCAGGTTATCGTCCATCCCAGCAAGTTGCGCTCCATGCGGACTGCCGGCAGAGCCCTTTAAATTTTTCCTCTCTGCGATATACCAGAAAGCGTCGACGCCAAGTGGAATGTGTACCGAAGTGTCGACTAGATTAGGAAACGCAATGTGTCATAACGGGAACATACGTTGTTCAGTTTTGCGACATCTATCAAATCGAATATGAGCGTTTCCACGGAGTAGGCTGATTGTAGGGTAAACATAGCGTGAAGTAGAGTTGAAAGGTCCACTGTGTAGTTGAACCAGATTTGATGAATTAGTGTCCTCACTGAAAAAACCACGTATCTATATCAATTGTTCGACTGGGCTTACACTGTAAGGTATCAGTTGTGCATTTCAGGACATAAGATCAGCTACTGCAATTGTTAAAAGTTGCATAGCAAGGAACTGTTTTTTGTTCTTGAATAAAATTTTGGACATAAACTGTAGGTGGTTTTTCAAATCCGATTTTGCGTTCACCTGATTTTCCAATTTGACATTGTTGGATTTCTGAGTATGCCGTTGCACAGTTTTGTCCTGGTCCCTGTGTAAAGTAGAATGGTGTTTCCTTCTCAGTTGTCTATGATACAACGTCTTGCAGAAGTACCGTCAGTTGACAACTGCTTATCCTTCACTAATTGAGTTCTTTGTTGCGTAGTTAGCTTTAAAAAAACTGTTCAGTGTCCTATGTAGTGTTCTTCATTGTCCAGCGGACATAACCATTTCAAGTTACCTGTTTCGTTTTTGAAGTTATGTTTTTTTTTCGGTATGCTGGCTGTTACGCATGGTTACGAAAGATTTTTGTTGATGTTTATGTTCCAATCTTTGTTTCCCGTAAAAGTGCAAAACAACCCCTCCTACATTCAACCAATAAGTACCTCTCCATTCAACAATTAACCCTACGGCCACCATTTTATTTGAACTTGAGGGTGCGGGTTTGCGAATGGCGATTGTGGTATAGAAAACAAAATTAACTGTTAATATGCCATCCATTGAAAAATAAAGATTAAATTTACAAAATCTAATGTGAAAAGTTAAAAGTTATGAAACGGTAAAAGTAGCAATTGCAGTAATGAGAAACTGGGATAAGTATTCAAACAAAAATGCAAATTTCATCATGAACTTCTCAAAAATCTATTATAATCGATTGTTAATGATTTCAATGAATTATATTGACATACAAAACATCAGGATTACAAATCATTTCTAATAGATATAAAGATACAATTATGATGCATAAGTGCTCGGTGCGGGTGAGCACAACCTAAGTTATTTGAATCTAATTTGAAAAAGTTCTCAATGAAGCTTTTTAAAATAATTTTATGAAAGAAATTATTGGATTGTTATTTTCTGAAGAATCTCACAGGAAAAGAATCCATTGCAAGAATCTTGCAAGAAACCATTTGCGAAAACTTTGCACCATCTTGCAAGATTACTGTTTTCTGTCGACTAATAATGAGTGCCCACACCGGAGTTTTATGGATAATAATCGATTATGTTGGAGAAATGTTGTTTAAATGTTCCATTATTATTGCAAATTTAGACCATACAATCGATTATATTGCATTATAATCGAATAATTCCTTAATAACACGTTTTATTCAAAAAAATACCTTCCAATGGATTATGATCCCTTTAAACATCATTCATATTGTTTATAATGGATTATAATCTCGGCATTTTTTGGCGAAATCATTTGAAAACTTGAAAACTTGTAAAATGAGGATGGGGGACGGGGGACTGAGGAGGGATTGCACTGTGGGAGGGTGGAGGTGTTCGTAACTGGTGAGAGTGGGTGTGGGTTGTAAACTGGGGAGGAGGTTGTTGAAAGAGGTGATGGAGCTTACATTGAGTCACCGCCCCTCCCCCGTTCAACCATTTTCATCCCCTACCTTCACCATTAAATATCTCCCCCCGTTCAAGTGAGGGGGAGGCGTAGTGGGGAGCGGGGCTTGTGGGCTACTGGCGTTTTTCTTCACTATGGCAATAGTAAAAAAAAGTTAAACTGTCAAATTGAAGAAATAGAGAAAAGTTAAATTTATTAAATCTTATTTGAAAAGCAAATGTTTCTAAAACGTAATACGTGGCAACTGCAACAGGAAATGAGATAACCTTAAAAAAATTGCAAAATTTAAAAATAACTTCTCAAAAACCTTTTATAATCGATTATAATAGATTATTTTGGTATAAAAATATCACGAATCACGATTATATTTTCAATCAATATAATTCAATTATAATCGATTATAATGGAATATATTGTTTGAAAACATATATATTAGGACTAATTTTAATGGATTATGATCGATTGTTTTTGTAATTTTATGGATACTGACTTTAAAATGACAATATAATTGATTATATCCAGGGGCGCTCGATGCGAGTGCCCTGAAACATCGGTTATTTTCTTGGAGCAGAACAGAATCGAAATGAAAGAATTTTTGTTTCAATTATAACCTTTCTCTGCCTTTATTCGCCATAAAAGTTTTAATCACATGAATATGATACATATCTGCACTATTACTATGATTTTTCAATCTAATGTCTTTTAATTCAGTCTATTTTTTAAAGTAGAGTATAAGAAAAGACAGCACAAAAAATACTCGAGATTTGTAATGTGAAGACTTCTAACAAAATATTTTTGAGAAGGGTACGTACTAAAGCTGGCAGTACAATTGTGACCCTGCGTATTTGATACCTTAACGTTTATATACATTGTTATAAAAACTGCTATAGTTGACATTTGTAAAACATTGTACTATGGAAGTCAATTTCAGCGTCAACTGATATTTCAATCTGACTATCAATAGTAAAAAGATAATAAGCTATGGAAAGTACATTACCTACCCGCACCGGAGTTCCATGACTAATAATCGAAATTTAATGGAAAAATGTAGTCTAAAATTTTGTCATTATAATCCATTATTGTGGCAAATTTAGACCACGTAATCGATTATATGTCATTATAATCGATTATTTTTCTAAAAACACAATCCAATAAAATCCTTTATAATGGATTAAAATCCATTTAAAATCCACTATAATGGATTATAATCCACTTAACATTACGAGGCCAAACTGTGCACTGGATAGACGCACAATTTTGCGTCTGTATGTTCTTAGAATCCATAGACAAACCTTTAAACATGTTCCAAAATGTCAGTGGATTCCGCGTGCAAATACCTGTAATGTAAATTTTGTCGCAACATTTGTTGTGCCGCGGATTCCGCAACAAGCGAGTATAGCTAGTTGTTCTGGATTCCGCAACTGAAAATGATTTCCACGGAATGTAGGTGGAATCCGCAAATGTAAGTAGAACCCGCCAAATTTGTAAGCGGAATCCGCAAATGTCAGCGGATTCCGCAAACTTTAAGTGGATTCAGAATTTTGTCTATTACTGAACTCGCATATGAACAATTGAAAGCTAGAGCTGGAATTCTTATCCGTAGCAATGCGGAATTTAAAGGCAAGGACTTATCCATTGTCAGTCGAATCCACGAACAAATCTTGAAACATTTGTTAGCTAAATTGATGGATGTCAGCTTTTAGTATTTTGGAAACACAACACCGAATAAGTTCAATTTTTGGAGTCATTGGGTTGAGAGTGTATGGAAATACAACACTCATCGTATCGCCAATTTAGGTCAATATTTGGTCTTGAGTCAACCTCACATATTGATTTTGAAAGCATAACGCCGAATTGATTCAATATTTGTAGTCATTTGGTTGAGATTGTATGGAAACAAGCATATCGCCAATTTAGGTCAGTATTTGGGATTGCATCAGTATTTGAAATCGAAGTTCAGATCAAAGTAGATCAGTACTTGGGATCGGTAGGTCAGTATTTGGGATCGAAGTTGAGATAGAAGTTGACAGGATTTGAAATCGAAGTTTGGTTGGTTAAAAGGAACTGAGACCAAACGTTTCAACTGGTAGTTGATCAATGTAATAATTGAGGTTGATTTTTTCGGTCGGCCAGTAATTAAAAGATACAATTTTAAACGCTATACTACACTTACACATATATGTATACGGAATCCGCAAACAAAATGCGGATTCCACTGATAATTTGCGGATTCCATTATCCGTTGCGGATTCCGCTTACAGTTGCGGAAACCGCAATAGCTCAATTTAACTATACATATGTCTTAGAATTTGTTGGTGAACTCCACAAACTGTTCTGGATTCCGCAACTACGCTTGCGGATTCCGCAAAGTCGCCTATTTTCGGAGCGATTTTGAGGGTACAGTGTTTTAGGTATTTGTTTGTGGAATCCAAAACAGCGAAGAAGATAAAAAAAATTAGCAAAGTTGCGGATTCCGCAACAAATCTAATTTTGGCCTGTTGCGGAATCCCCTTACAATGCACAGAATGCACAGTTTGGCCTCGTAATGAAAATCCATTATACTTAATAATAACGGATTATAATCTATACATTTTTTGCAAAATCATTTCTAAAACTTGCAACATTTCTGCGTTACTCACGGCCTACTCGCAATCTAAACCTACTCTAATTACCCCTCCCCCCACTTTGCCCCCCATCAGTCCGCATTTGCCCAAACCCCCTCCCCCAGTAAACTAAGATGAGGGGGTTATTGATTATAATGGATTATTTTGCCTCGAAAACAAGTTTCAATTTCTTTCAAAAATAATCGATTTTAATCGATTATAATCGATTATTTTCGGATTTTATTGATTAGAAAAATAGTTTTATTGTAATCCATTTTTAATCGGTTATAATCGATTATTATCGAAATTTATTGAGACAGACCACGAAAATTCATAATAATCGATTATTATCCATGGAACTCCGGTGCGGGTAAACCAAAATATGACCATTTCATTATAGGGACCCAGAGCATGTCACTGACCCCTGGTCTGATAAACACATTCATGAAATGCTACCAGCCCGACAGCGAAATTAGCCGATTCTCCCACACCCTGGACTTCGAGCCGATAGCGTGCAACCATCTTTTCACCGGAGAAGCGCAGAGCTCATCAGGTGTTAAAACCGAATATGTTTATAAACTAATTTCAAGTAAACTATTTTCAGCTAGCAACATATTTTGCCCAAAAATAAGACTAAACCCTCTGACTTTCCCCTTACTCGTTGAACTCTTCGTGGATGTCATTTCAGACGACTACTACTCTGCCTACTTCTCCGAGTATGAGCCCTACACTTATGACTACTACTCGCTCTACAGGAGCTCCTTCTCCTCCTACTTCAACATCTCCCAGAGTGAGGAGAACGACATACTCCACTGCATTGGGCAGAACGACAAGGCCGGTGAGAACAAGTTCTACTCCTAAACTCCAGCCATCCTTCACCCTTCATCCTGTAATCTTTAAACATAAGCCATATTCACTAATATTCAACAAAGAAAGTTAACCTAAGTTATTGGTCCATATAGAATGTTAAAAAGGGCTTTACTGAATCACGATTGATTTCAGCCCATGTAGTTTCTTTCGTGTTGCTCCGACGTTCCAAAGAAGCAAATTTTATACCTAGGGCTTGAGCATAAAATTGATAATTGATACCCGTATCGTGACGAATATCAGTGGTGAGTTGTCAGGAAACTTTATCTCTACATAATACTACAGAGATATCGCAGCGATTACCATCTAATGATTCAGTCTATGATCAGGGTCATTTTATCAATGATCAGGGCTAAACCATGGCTGAATTAGCGCTAAATGTTCAAGTCTGAATCAGACATAAATCATTCATGAATAGGTTTTCAATGCAAAAACCCTGTAAACCTATGGATTAGGGATAACTCATTCCTGAAAAATCCTGATTAGCCATAAAAACTTTCGAGTAAATTTCAGTTGAATGTCAAGGAACGTCGCAAACATATCACAACATAGAAGTAGCCACGAAGATAGCCAGGTGAAAACCATATTAAATATAGTACAAAAGTATGTACAAAACTTCTGGATGCTGGAAGTTTTTTAATCGAGCCCGCGAACTGGTTCGTGGCAGGGGTACATATTTCCTTTTTTTCTTACGACATCTTCTCTTGAGTAACATTATCTTCTGTTTGGATTTTGGAGTCTTTCAGGAGAAGCTCTGAGTTATTTTGCCCAAAATCTTGAAGTATCCAGGCATCATGTTTTCACTTGAATTTATCCACCACACATGATCTTGCTAAATTTTAAAAAAAAATGTGGGAAATACTGCGCTTTTTGTCCTTTTACGATTAGATTTTTTTTACCTCCTTGAAACTTTTGAGGCATGTGTAATCAGGGCCTTCAATAATCACCGTCAGGAATCGTTAGTTTTTTTTTCTCTTTTCCTTAGCGCAAGATTTTGTTTCACTTGTTTTTCATCGAACGGCAGATCCTTGAAAAAATCAATTATAACAATCGGTTACAATAAAAGCGAATGAAAATTTCAATTAATTAATTTAATTATTGTTTCTTTAAAAATTTCATTATAAATAATCGGCCAAAGAAATCAAAAACTTGATTTCAAAATGCTTGCTATCTTTATACCCACCCAAATCTCATAAATACACAAAATTTTGAAAGACAAAACATACCTAGGCAATTTTGTTACAACGTTTTGCCATGTGCTGCTCTATCCCGTTTATGCGAATGTCCTGTGCAAAATAACTCAAAAACAGCATAATATTATGATACTTTTAAATATTTACAACATCAGAAAAAAGACTAGGTAAAATTGTTTTCAATTTCTTACCTAATCAACGAATACTTCAATAGCTTGGCAAAAACTGAGCGAAAACTAGATCAAAACTAACCTCCGTGTTAGCAAGGTACTAGTACCTCCGAACTTGGGTACCTTACCGTACTAGTACGTGTACTACTACCAAAAGTACTAGTACCGGTAGCATACCACCGGTCTTCCCCCATCATATCGGAATTAATAAAAAACCAGATTTTGCACACCCTTAGAAAATTTTTGACTGAATTTTTGCGCTTCTCGGCACCGTCGGAATGTTTTTAAGATCTGTTTGATAAAATCTGTAAAATAGTGGAAATATAGCAAAAAATATCTTTGGATCTTTCATTTTAAGATTAACGATTGTAAAAATCTACTTTTGCTTTATTAAATCTTGTAATCATAAAACAGAAAAAAACAAAAACATTTTAAAAGCTTCAGCAAATTGAACAAATACAAAAGAGGTGTGCCTCACTGGAATATTGTAACTGAGATTCCGTTGAGAGCTCATAATGATGATGGTCTTCGACGACTCCCAGTAACTTTTTCAATATCGTTCAATAATCTTTAGCAAAAATCGGCTTTCGGAAACAAAAGTGATCCGATCTGAAGAAGAAAATACCCACTTTTTTATCAATACTTCTTCTTAATGTCCCTCTGAATTAAAAAAAAAGTAAAGCATAATAGAAAGGAAAGTCATCTAGTGGATCACTTCACCTAATGGGTCACTCCTTTTTCACCTAAACCTAATTTTCGCGAAAAAATTGAATGAAACGATGGGATAAAAAGTCAAGTGGTTCAAATCGTACTCTTGCTAAACATTAAATACTCAAAACTACTTTTTTCAAACTTTAAGGACCGTATGGAATCTATTTTGCTACCCGGGCTGACCAAAAATGCTTATCATACAATTTCAAACAATTCGACTGATGCAGAAAATGTAAGAAAACTCTAGGATAAGCATTTTTTCACATATGGAAATGGTAGGACAAGCATTTTTTTTTATAAACCAAAAATTTAAATTTTTTAAGATTTTTTAACTCACAATTTTTGGGATGTGCTCTTGACCAAATACAAGTGTCTAAAACCATGGTGTACTCAAAACTAGAGTCACCAAAGGGTTGATCGTCTGGGACTAACAATGAATTGGTAACGAAGTGAATTGTGTAAGAGTTCTCTTCACAAATCATACACTGAAAGCATCAAACTTTTAAATTACGGCAAAAATTTTCAAAGATAATTATTTTTAAAATTAGAATTTTCAATTTATCAGACATTGATCAAAGCATATATAAACAAGCCAACCAAAGAAATAGTAGTTTTTAGCCTGTTTCGAAAATTTTTTTTGTGTATCTAGGACTACGTTATGCAGACAAAAAGAATAAAACTTCCTGTTTTTTTTGCTACAAAATTCGATTTGCGATTAAAGAAAATTAGGCAATTTCAACATTTTGTTGTCGCCATCAAAAAAATGCTAGTCATACAACTTTCATATTTGGAAATTGTATGATAACCACTTTTTTCCAAAGAAAAATACAAATAGTTTTTTTTTATCACCAGACTGTTTTATTTGGTGCAAATAGCCGCAGAAAGTAGTTCAAATATTTTTCCTATGATTTTTCGAAATTGTTTTAGAGTTGTATGATTTGCGTTTTTCCATGAATTTGATGTATGGAATTGTATGATAAGCATTTTCAGTGTATGGAATTGTAAGATAAACATTTTCGGTTTATGGAGGTCAACACGATATAAGAAAAAAAAATTGTTTCGGAGGCTTTTTTTGGGCCACATGAGTTTTCGCACAGAGATTTTACAATGCTATCATTTTGAAAAGTCCCACGTCTGTAGATTTTATTTCTATCCGCGCGAATCGAAATAGGAAAAAAATGGCGTCATTTTGACCAATTTTTAACAATAAAATGGCTATGGTTGCACTAGCAAATCAATTCCTAACAAATTTATTTCTGGCAGGAAGAAATAGGCAGGACCGTTTTCTTCAACCGTAAACTGGAGCATTTAATTTCAAATTTTAATGCGCTGAGAATGGGAGGGTTCTCATGCTGTAGGGACCGAATGCTGGACAAATTTCAACCAATAAAAATCGTGAACCGTTCCTACAGGCTCAAATTTCAACCACGAAATCGCAGTCAATATTAACAAAAAATGATAATATAAAAAATATACTAGATGCAGATATAATACGTGCAGGTATGATAAATTTAGTTTTTTTGTTTTTCCATTTTTTGTTAATCGGTATCCTAGAAATATTAAATTGCTCCAATCCGCCTTCGATCCGGCATTAATTTCGTTCATCTGTTTATTATAAATTCGGTCAATATTAACAGTAATGGCCCGGTTTTATTTGCTTTCTTTGAGATTTATGCGATTTCCCTGAGATTTATGAATACTCAATTCTGATTGGCTGAAATTAGGCCAAAATAAATTTCAAGCATTCGGTCCCTCCAACAAGCATCGATTGGTAGCAATTTTGATAGCATCGATTGATATCAATATTGATAGCATCGATTGATAGCAATATTGATAGCATCGATTTATAGCAATTTTGATAGCATCGATTGATATCAATATTGATAGCATCGATTGATAGCAATATTGATAGCATCGATTTATAGCAATATTGATAGCATCTATTGATAGCAATATTGATAGCATCGATTGATAGCAATATTGATAGCATCGATTGATAGCAAGATTGATAGCATCTTTTGATAGCAATATTGATAGCATCGGTTGATAGCAATATTGATAGCATCGATTTATAGCAATATTGATAGCATCAATTGGTAGCAATTTTGCTAGCATCTTTTGATAGCAATATTGATAGCATCGGTTGATAGCAATATTGATAGCATCGATTTATAGCAATATTGATAGCATCAATTGGTAGCAATTTTGCTAGCATCGATTGATATCAATATTGATAGCATCGATTGATAGCAATAGTGATAGCATCGATTTATAGCCATTTTGATAGCATCGATTGATAGCAAAATTGATAGCATCGATTGATAGCAATATTGATAACATCGATTGATAGCAAGATTGATAGCATCGATTGATAGCATTATTGATAGCATCTTTTGATAGCAATATTGATAGCATTGGTTTATAGTAATATTGATAGCATCGATTAATAGCAATATTGATAGCATCGATTGGTAGCAATTTTGATAGCATCGATTGATATCAACTATATCAATCGATGCTATCAAAATTGCTACCAATCCATGCTATCAATATTGCTATAAATCGATGCTATCAATTTTGCTATCAATTGATGCTATCAAAATTGCTATCAATCGATGCTATCAATATTGCTACCAATAGATGCTATCAAAATTGCTATAAATCGATGCTATCACTATTGCTATCAATCGATGCTATCAATATTGATATCAATCGATGCTATCAAAATTGCTACCAATCGATACCATCAAAAATTAAAGATTGATATCACAGACACTCAATTGTTGATTAGTTGAACGTCATCAAATTTAGTAATTGAAGACTTCTGCGACCTTTGTAAAGAATCCTAAATCCTTTTATAAGTGTAAGCCAAACGAGCTTAAAATTCAGAAAATATTGTTCATCGACAAAAATGTTAAGTGCTTCTGTTTGGAGACGGAGCACTCTGCAGAATGATCCAAGAACAGAACGCATTGAAGCCAAATCTAAAGCATTATTAAGAGCATCGGTTGATAGCAAAATTGATAGCATCGATTTATAGCAATATTGATAGCATCGATTGGGAGAAATTTTGATAGCATCGATTGATATCAATATTGATAGCATCGATTGATTGCAATATTGATAGCAACGATTTATAGCAATATTGATAGCATCTATTGGTAGCAATATTGATAGCATCGATTGATAGCAATATTGATAGCATCGATTGATAGCAATATTGATAGCATCGATTGATAGCAAGATTTATAGCATCTTTTGATAGCAATATTGATGGCATCGGTTGATAGCAATAATGAAAGCATCGATTTATAGCAATATTGATAGCATCGATTGGTAGCAATTTTGATAGCATCGATTGATATCAATATTGATAGCATCGATTGATAGCAATAGTGATAGCATCAATTTATAGCAATTTTGATAGCATCTATTGGTAGCAATTTTGATAGCATCGATTGATAGCAATATTGATAGCATTGGTTTATAGTAATATTGATAGCATCGATTTATAGCAATATTGATAGCATCTATTGGTAGCAATATTGATAGCATCGATTGATAGCAATATTGATAGCATCGATTGATAGCAATATTGATAGCATCGGTTGATAGCAAGATTGATAGCATCGATTGATAGCATTATTGATAGCATCTTTTGATAGCAATATTGATAGCATCGGTTTATAGTAATATTGATAGCATCGATTTATAGCAATATTGATAGCATCGATTGGTAGCAATTTTGATAGCATCGATTGATAGCACTATTGATAGCATCGATTTATAGCAATATTGATAGCATCTATTGGTAGCAATATTGATAGCATCGGTTGATAGCAATATTGATAGCATCGATTGATAGCAATATTGATAGCATCGGTTGATAGCAAGATTGATAGCATCGATTGATAGCAATTTTCATAGCATCGATTGATAGCAATATTGATAGCATTGGTTTATAGTAATATTGATAGCATCGATTTATAGCAATATTGATAGCATCTATTGGTAGCAATATTGATAGCATCGATTGATAGCAATATTGATAGCATCGATTGATAGCAATATTGATAGCATCGGTTGATAGCAAGATTGATAGCATCGATTGATAGCAAGATTGATAGCATCGATTGATAGCAATTTTCATAGCATCGATTGATAGCAATATTGATAGCATTGGTTTATAGTAATATTGATAGCATCGATTTATAGCAATATTGATAGCATCGATTGGTAGCAATTTTGATAGCATCGATTGATAGCACTATTGATAGCATCGATTTATAGCAATATTGATAGCATCTATTGGTAGCAATATTGATAGCATCGGTTGATAGCAATATTGATAGCATCGATTGATAGCAATATTGATAGCATCGGTTGATAGCAATTTTGATAGCATCGATTGATAGCACTATTGATAGCATCGATTTATAGCAATATTGATAGCATCTATTGGTAGCAATATTGATAGCATCGGTTGATAGCAATATTGATAGCATCGATTGATAGCAATATTGATAGCATCGGTTGATAGCAAGATTGATAGCATCGATTGATAGCAATTTTCATAGCATCGATTGATAGCAATATTGATAGCATTGGTTTATAGTAATATTGATAGCATCGATTTATAGCAATATTGATAGCATCTATTGGTAGCAATATTGATAGCATCGATTGATAGCAATATTGATAGCATCGATTGATAGCAATATTGATAGCATCGGTTGATAGCAAGATTGATAGCATCGATTGATAGCAATATTGATATCATCAATACCGGTAGCCCGATTAAATCAATACGAACATCGAGATGATACCACATTAACGACTTAATTTCCAAAGATGTATTTCAAAAAAGCTCACTTGTCGTCAATAAAAACTGGTCTGAATACAGTTTTTTAGAAGAACTTCTTAATCCATAGTTTGCTTTTAAAATGTTTTTGGAGCTCAGTTAGAGTCCAAGTCTGCTTCGCGAGAGAAGTCTCCAAAAGGCAAAGAAAAAGTGTTTTTGAAACAAATTTCTTTTTTTCTTATATACTTTTAAAATTATTAGCGCTATCGGAAGTTTTGTTCTAGTTGTGTAGCAACCTTCTACTACGTCTAGCATTTCAGTTCGGCTCAGCATGTCTTCGTCTGTGTGGACGGAGTCCTACCTGACTGCTTCTGCGGAAGACTACAGCGACGTGATCGAACTGTATCGCACAGCCGATTTGGACTCCATAGCCTCACATGGCCTACAATTGGACACTTTCCTGGTGGAGTGTCACTACAAGTTACTACCTTGTGATCACACGTAAGCACTGGTTGTGTAGCTTGTCAAGCAAAAAATGACTAGACTACCTTTTTTTCTATACTTTTTCAATTCATATTTTCAACAGTTTCAATTATTATATTTTTAAAATCAAGCCTTAAAATTTTTGAACTAAGCTTTGAAATCTTTCTGTAATTGATCGGCAGAGATTTTTGGTTTCTCGAGAAGAAAAAATCAGTGTCTTACTCCAACTATTAACTTTGGTTGCTAGCTGGTAAAAAGGGAACAAGAAAAAGGGCAAAAAGAAGGTTCCCGAAATTGCATTAGTTCAGAAGAGTTACCTAGCTGCGTTAACTCTTCGTCAGCGTAGATAGATTCGCATCTACGTTTCAGCAACTTTGTGAGGCAGCAGACAGACTCATATGGCAACTGCTTCACCTTCACAGCCCCCAGAGACAGGTTCCTCCCACCAGGCACATTCCCCTCCTACAATAAAGGTACACTTTTGGCTCATTTGTTCACACCACTGTTTTTGTCAAACTGCAAAAATATCAAAATTACATCATTCAGATAGCGAGGGTATTGCAAACATTTTGATGATAAATGAGTAAACAATTAGCAAGAGTTTCGTTGATCAGGTAAATTGTTTGGAACCGGCGCGAACCGAAAAAAGTGTCGCCGCGACCAAAAAAACGTCATTGCCAATTCAAGACCAGCGCAACTGAAATCAAAACCGTTGCGACACAAGAAAATGGCGCAAATCTCGCAACTGAAAATACCAATTCAGGATCTGCACGAAAGAGAACAAACCGCCGCGACTAGCGCCACTGAACAAAAAACTCAGTCTTTTCTTGAGTCGCTATCATTTTTTCTTCAGTCGAACCGTCGTCAGTCTTTTCTTAAGTAGTTTTTTAAAACGCCACCCCATCGTTTTAAGAGAAGACTGTCGGCGATACTTAAGAAACAACATTAGCTGCGCGACTCAAAAAAAGACTGACGGCGCAGAAAAGAACTTAAGCCAGTAAATCATCGTTCTTACCTTAACATATATGCAAGTTTATCACTCGAATCGTATCTTGTGGCACAGAAAAATTAGCTTTTTGACTGGCGGCGCGACTCAAGTAAGGAGAGACGGTGCGAGTTATGAAACGATTTTTGCGCGATTTAATAAAAGACTGACAGCGTGACTTATAAAAAACTTTGAGGCGTGACTTAAATCCGCGGCGCAACTACGAAATTCCTTCTAAAAACGGTATGCGGCGCGGCTTACAATATTTTTTCGTAAGTCGTGGATATCGATCTAGGTACCTCCCATGCGCTGCATTCATTGACGATCAAACCTGATGTATAACCCAACTTTCGACAAAGCACCAGTAATTGCTTTTTACTCTGGTTTTCTTTGAAAAAATAGATGTCAAATTTAAGTAAACGTTCTTGACATCTGCATGTATTATGGAAAATGTGGTACTTTTTAACGGTTAATAAGCCACTTTTTGTTCACATGTGGTTTCTTTGAAACTTCATCTTTTGATGCCGTGTTTTTCTGTTAATCTGTTTTGTGCACAACTGCAGGTTTGGCACTGACTGTGCGCATAGCGAATGAGGAGAACGCGGAGTTGCTGACGTCATCGAGTGGGATCAAGATAGCAGTGCATGACCACTCAGTGTCTCACGGGGTCATAGAGGACGAGGGGGTGTCCGCCTCACTCGGCACAGAGTCCATGATACAATTCAGCAAGGTCACTCATAGACCACCATTATAAAGGGCCATAGGCTTTAGGCTTTTTAACGGTAGAAAACAGCCATGCATGAAGCCACAACACTAATAGGTTACATGAGTTTGTGGGAAATCTAAAAATTGGTTTAAAAGTTACTACTTTCTTGAACTATTTCAAAATATATACACATATGTTTCACTGCTTGTTGTTCTAGAAGGTTCTAAAGAGGGGCGTGGAGGAGAACATGGAGTGTATCAAAGAGTGGCCATCAGAAGTGGGCGTGTTCAAGACAATCAGCTACGACAGAAAGGTAAGCGAAGCACTTATTCATTTCTCGGCAAGGGTTTCAAAATTTTTCTCTGCTTGATAAACCGGCAGAAAAAACACAGCAAAGTGCATTTGAGGATCGACACTAAGTGTCTTAGGGAGCTCGTTTACTTGCGTAAAAGAGAATGCTATTTGCAGCTGTGTCGTTCGTTCTGCCTTGAGCACCAGTTGGTGGGTGCGTGCAACTGTACCCTTTCTCTCCTCTACCACCACTACCACCCCAGAGTCTCATTCTGCCAACTACTACTCAACAAAGACACTCAATGTCAGTATACATATATATTTAATATACTCAACTACCCTCTCCTTCCTCTACCACAAATACCACGCCACAGTCTCCTACTGCCAACTGCTACTCAACAAACACACCCAATAATAGTATACATATATATTTAATATATACAACTACCCTCTCCTTCCTCTACCGCCACTACCACCCCGCAGTCTCATTCTGCCAACTACTACTCAACAAAGACACTCAATGTCAGTATACATATATATTTAATATACTCAACTACCCTCTCCTTCCTCTACCACAAATACCACGCCACAGTCTCCTACTGCCAACTGCTACTCAACAAACACACCCAATAATAGTATACATATATATTTAATATATACAACTACCCTCTCCTTCCTCTACCGCCACTACCACCCCGCAGTCTCATTCTGCCAACTGCTACTCAACAAACACACCCAATAATAGTATACATATATATTTAATATATACAACTACCCTCTCCTTCCTCTACCGCCACTACCACCCCGCAGTCTCATTCTGCCAACTACTACTCAACAAAGACACTCAATGTCAGTATACATATATATTTAATATACTCAACTACCCTCTCCTTCCTCTACCACAAATACCACGCCACAGTCTCCTACTGCCAACTGCTACTCAACAAACACACCCAATAATAGTATACATATATATTTAATATATACAACTACCCTCTCCTTCCTCTACCGCCACTACCACCCCGCAGTCTCATTCTGCCAACTACTACTCAACAAAGACACTCAATGTCAGTATACATATATATTTAATATACTCAACTACCCTCTCCTTCCTCTACCACAAATACCACGCCACAGTCTCCTACTGCCAACTGCTACTCAACAAACACACCCAATAATAGTATACATATATATTTAATATATACAACTACCCTCTCCTTCCTCTACCGCCACTACCACCCCGCAGTCTCATTCTGCCAACTACTACTCAACAAAGACACTCAATGTCAGTATACATATATATTTAATATACTCAACTACCCTCTCCTTCCTCTACCACAAATACCACGCCACAGTCTCCTACTGCCAACTGCTACTCAACAAACACACCCAATAATAGTATACATATATATTTAATATATACAACTACCCTCTCCTTCCTCTACCGCCACTACCACCCCACAGTCTCATTCTGCCAACTACTACTCAACAAAGACACTCAATGTCAGTATACATATATATTTAATATACTCAACTACCCTCTCCTTCCTCTACCACAAATACCACGCCACAGTCTCCTACTGCCAACTGCTACTCAACAAACACACCCAATAATAGTATACATATATATTTAATATATACAACTACCCTCTCCTTCCTCTACCGCCACTACCACCCCGCAGTCTCATTCTGCCAACTACTACTCAACAAAGACACTCAATGTCAGTATACATATATATTTAATATACTCAACTACCCTCTCCTTCCTCTACCACAAATACCACGCCACAGTCTCCTACTGCCAACTGCTACTCAACAAACACACCCAATAATAGTATACATATATATTTAATATATACAACTACCCTCTCCTTCCTCTACCGCCACTACCACCCCACAGTCTCATTCTGCCAACTACTACTCAACAAAGACACTCAATGTCAGTATACATATATATTTAATATACTCAACTACCCTCTCCTTCCTCTACCACAAATACCACGCCACAGTCTCCTACTGCCAACTGCTACTCAACAAACACACCCAATAATAGTATACATATATATTTAATATATACAACTACCCTCTCCTTCCTCTACCGCCACTACCACCCCGCAGTCTCATTCTGCCAACTACTACTCAACAAAGACACTCAATGTCAGTATACATATATATTTAATATACTCAACTACCCTCTCCTTCCTCTACCACAAATACCACGCCACAGTCTCCTACTGCCAACTGCTACTCAACAAACACACCCAATAATAGTATACATATATATTTAATATATACAACTACCCTCTCCTTCCTCTACCGCCACTACCACCCCGCAGTCTCATTCTGCCAACTACTACTCAACAAAGACACTCAATGTCAGTATACATTAATATTTAATATACTCAACTACCCTCTCCTTCCTCTACCACAAATACCACGCCACAGTCTCCTACTGCCAACTGCTACTCAACAAACACACCCAATAATAGTATACATATATATTTAATATATACAACTACCCTCTCCTTCCTCTACCGCCACTACCACCCCGCAGTCTCATTCTGCCAACTACTACTCAACAAAGACACTCAATGTCAGTATACATTAATATTTAATATACTCAACTACCCTCTCCTTCCTCTACCACAAATACCACGCCACAGTCTCCTACTGCCAACTGCTACTCAACAAACACACCCCAATAATAGTATACATATATATTTAATATATACAACTACCCTCTCCTTCCTCTACCGCCACTACCACCCCCGCAGTCTCATTCTGCCAACTACTACTCAACAAAGACACTCAATGTCAGTATACATTAATATTTAATATACTCAACTACCCTCTCCTTCCTCTACCACAAATACCACGCCACAGTCTCCTACTGCCAACTGCTACTCAACAAACACACCCAATAATAGTATACATATATATTTAATATATACAACTACCCTCTCCTTCCTCTACCGCCACTACCACCCCGCAGTCTCATTCTGCCAACTACTACTCAACAAAGACACTCAATGTCAGTATACATTAATATTTAATATACTCAACTACCCTCTCCTTCCTCTACCACAAATACCACGCCACAGTCTCCTACTGCCAACTGCTACCTCAACAAACACACCCAATAATAGTATACATATATATTTAATATATACAACTACCCTCTCCTTCCTCTACCGCCACTACCACCCCGCAGTCTCATTCTGCCAACTACTACTCAACAAAGACACTCAATGTCAGTATACATTAATATTTAATATACTCAACTACCCTCTCCTTCCTCTACCACAAATACCACGCCACAGTCTCCTACTGCCAACTGCTACTCAACAAACACACCCAATAAAAGTATACATATATATTTAAAATATACAACTACCCTCTCCTTCCTCTACCGCCACTACCACCCCGCAGTCTCATTCTGCCAACTACTACTCAACAAAGACACTCAATGTCAGTATACATTTATATTTAATATACTCAACTACCCTCTCCTTCCTCTACCACAAATACCATGCCACAGTCTCCTACTGCCAACTGCTACTCAACAAACACACCCAATAATAGTATACATATATATTTAATATATACAACTACCCTCTCCTTCCTCTACCGCCACTACCACCCAGCAGTCTCATTCTGCCAACTACTACTCAACAAAGACACTCAATGTCAGTATACATTAATATTTAATATACTCAACTACCCTCTCCTTCCTCTACCACAAATACCACGCCACAGTCTCCTACTGCCAACTGCTACTCAACAAACACACCCAATAAAAGTATACAATATATATTTAATATATACAACTACCCTCTCCTTCCTCTACCGCCACTACCACCCAGCAGTCTCATTCTGCCAACTACTACTCAACAAAGACACTCAATGTCAGTATACATTTATATTTAATATACTCAACTACCCTCTCCTTCCTCTACCACAAATACCATGCCACAGTCTCCTACTGCCAACTGCTACTCAACAAACACACCCAATAATAGTATACATATATATTTAATATATACAACTACCCTCTCCTTCCTCTACCGCCACTACCATCCCACAGTCTCATTCTGCCAACTACTACTCAACAAAGACGACACTCAATGTAAGTATACATATATATTTAATATACTCAACTACCCTCTCCTTCCTCTACCACAAATACCACGCCACAGTCTCCTAGTGCCAACTGCTACTCAACAAACACACCCAATAATAGTATACATATATATTTAATATATACAACTACCCTCTCCTTCCTCTACCACAAATACCATGCCACAGTCTCCTACTGCCAACTGCTACTCATTAAACACACCCAATATTAGTATACATATATATTTAGTATATACAACTACCCTCTCCTTTCTCTACCGCCACTACCACCACGCAGTCTCATTCTTGCCAACTACTACTCAACAAAGACACTCAATGTCAGTATACATTAATATTTAATATACTCAACTACCCTCTCCTTCCTCTACCACAAATACCACGCCACAGTCTCCTACTGCCAACTGCTACTCAACAAACACACCCAATAATAGTATACATATATATTTTAATATATACAACTACACTCTCCTTCCTATACCGCCACTACCACCACGCAGTCTCATTCTGCCAACTACTACTCAACAAAGACACTCAATGTCAATATACATTAATATTTAATATACTCAACTACCCTCTCCTTCCTCTACCACAAATACCACGCCACAGTCTCCTACTGCCAACTGCTACTCAAAAAAACACACCCAATAATAGTATACATATATATTTAATATATACAACTACCCTCTCCTTCCTCTACCGCCACTACCACCCCGCAGTCTCATTCTGCCAACTACTACTCAACAAAGACACTCAATGTCAGTATACATTTATATTTAATATACTCAACTACCCTCTCCTTCCTCTACCACAAATACCACGCCACATTCTCCTACTGCCAACTGCTACTCAACAAACACACCCAATAATAGTATACATATATATTTAATATATACAACTACCCTCTCCTTCCTCTACCGCCACTACCACCCCGCAGTCTCATTCTGCCAACTACTACTCAACAAAGACACTCAATGTCAGTATACATTAATATTTAATATACTCAACTACCCTCTCCTTCCTCTACCACAAATACCACGCCACAGTCTCCTACTGCCAACTGCTACTCAACAAACACACCCAATAATAGTATACATATATATTTTAATATATACAACTACACTCTCCTTCCTATACCGCCACTACCACCCCGCAGTCTCATTCT